CATTGCATTGTCCTTCTTTGGAATGAGAGTAATAAATGAGCAATTCAAACCATACCCCAACCTTCCTCTGTTGTAGAACTCTTTCATGAATATGATCACTTCTTCCTTGAGCACCTTCCAATTCTTTTGAAATCACAATAGATTGAAACTATTTGGACCAGGTGCTTTATTTCCATTACAGTCTTTCACTGCTGCTCAGATCTCTTCCTCAGAAAAATCTGCTTCTAGCTCTGCAAAATTCTGACTGTGCCTTACAGTCTTGAAGTCACCCATTAACACAGGCTTACCACTCTAATCTTCTGAAAAATGCTTTTTGAAATAAGCCCACACCTCATGCTTTACTTGATCAGGCTCTTCAACTGTAATGGAATTTAGTGCATTTCTATTGAGTCTACAGCTTGTTGTGATATAGAAACATCTACTATTCCTATCTCTTTTTAGGTTCTAGTCCAATCTTGATTTTTAAAGCCATACCCATTCAATCATACAACTAAGAGTCAACATCTCACTTCTTAGCTCTCTTTTATGTTTCAGTTCTGCCTCTTCCAATGGACTATCTTCAGCTTTCAAGTCAAGCACATACAATTCATCCTCAACTTCTTTTAGTTTTGATTCCACATTGCCATACACCTCTCTATTTCACTATTTCAAAGCCATATGTAAAGCTTGCAAATTTTTTTGTAGAATAAAACTAGCATCACCTATTGTAACACCCGCATCCTTTAATCCATTGGAGTGTGTATTTATTTCTCTTTTTTTTTCTTTTTTTTTTTTTTTGAAGAGTCTTTGGAGTTGTTGAATGTTGGTCTTGGAGGAGTATGATCCGATTTAAACTTGTTAGGTTTGTTTGTTTGCACTTGTTCTTGTCAAAAAGTTCTTTGAGAACTTAGAAATTCTATTCTGGGGTCGACACCAGCCTTCCTAAGGGTCGACCCTTACCTGTTGGTGAAGTTTCTGGAGGTGTTGCTGGAATTTAGGGTCAACACCAGCCTTAGTGGTGTCGACACCTGCCTCTTGTTGCTGTCCATAAAGGTCGACACCAGTCTGGGAAGGGTCGACCCTTGTATATTGCAGAATTTGGGTATTAGTTGCTGGAATATAGGGTCGACCCTTCCTGTCCAAGGGTCGACACCTTGCTTGCTACCAGCATTGTGTTTTCTTGCTGAAGGGTCGACACCACCACACCAGGGGTCGACCCTTGCGTGTTTATTTTCAGATTTGTGGATCCGAATGGGCCCTACCTTTAGGGGGTTTTGGGCCTATTATTTTATTGACCTTATGACTACTTTTTTACTACTATAAATAGACCCTAACCACTTCTCTCTCATTATTTTTCCTCTCTTTTCTCCTCTAGGCTGTGAGTTCTTTTTTCTCTCTCTAAAACTCAAACTTTTTCACTTAGATCTTTAGATATACTTACCTAGAGTGATCTTTTCATCTTGGTCCTTTGAGAAAGATTGTAGATCTCGTAAAGGTCTTTATTTGGTCTGATTAGTTCGTGGTTTCGTCGCCACTGATTTTTAGGTCGTCATCTCTTGGCTTCAAGAGGTAAGAGTTTCTAGTTCTCTTTCAATACTCTCCTATATAGATAGATTTGTGATATTTTCTTTATATAAATACCAAAGTGTATATTTTTATACATATTGTGATTAATCATGAGATTGGGGGTTAGGGTTTGAAGAGTTGGGATTTACTTGTTGGGCTATGGTTTGGGTCATGAGTTTGGGTGTAAAAGTAATAGAAAGGTTGGAATAAAATGTGTTTTGTGAAATAGGTCTTCGGAAGTACAATCTGTGAATACCTTGTACATATTGTGTAGCTGGACTGGCATGTTTATGTATCTATAAATAAGTTTTGAAATGTTCTGTCCTATGTACGTTATCATAGCTCATTGGACCTTGTCTATTTTGTATTATTGCTTCCGTAGAACCTTATTAATTGCTAATCTGTTCAGAGGCCTTTGGTAATCCACGGATTACTTGCCGGTTACGGTGCTAAACCCATAGGAGCGGGTTTGGGTCGTGACATACACACATTGGTGTCTCAGTATTTCTTCTTAAGGGTCGACACCTCTGTCCTAAGGGTCGACTCCTGTGTGTAATTTTTAGATTTTTGGGTCGGTTTGGGCCTTACTTTTTGGGGATTTTTGATTTGTTCTTTTTATTTGACTTTGGGGCTATTGTTCTATTAGTGTCTTGCTACTATAAATAGGTTCCAAACACTTGTTCATTTCACTTTTCCTTCTCTTTTCTCTCTCTACATCGTGAGTTTCTCTTCTCTCTCTCTAAACTCAAACTTTTTCACTTAGATCTTTCGATCTATTCACCTAGAGTGATCTTTTCACCTTGGTCCTTTGAGGAAGATTGTAGATCTCATCAAGGGCTTCATTTTGATCTGAATAGTTCGTGGTTTCATCACCAGTGAATGTTGGGTCGTCATCTCTTGCTTCAAGAGGTACGGGTTTTTAGTTCTCTTTCAATACCCTCATTTATAGATAGATTTGTGGTATTTTCTTTATATAAATACAAAATTTTACATTTTTTATGCATATTGTGATGAATCATGAGATTGGGGGTTAGGGTTTGAAGAGAGTTGGGTTTATTTGTTGGGTTATGATCTTGGGTCATGAGTTTGGGTGTAAAAGTAATAGAAGGGTTGGAATAAAATGTGTTTTTGTGCAAAGCTATAATTTCTCTTAAAAACCTAGTTTGGCTTATGAAGATGGTTAATGGTTTTGCTTCAATTGATAGTAGAATCATGAAATTGAGGTGTTAAATTACACATGTACAAATTTAATTAAAATTTTAAAGAGTTTGAAAACTTATGCAAAAGTTGCGATTGAGCCCCTCAATGTTGATATTTTAAATTATGTTATAATATAAAACCAAACTTGGGGAAAAGAAATTACTAATGGTAAGGATGATGCGAGAATTGTGATAAAATGATGAAGTGAATATTTAAGAATCTTATTGTATTATGTTGAATTGCGTTGAGTTATGTTAAATTGTGTTAAGTCAAAGTTTGGTTCAGATAAGTGTGAGGAACAATAAATGAGAGATTGTGAAATATGACGGTGTTGCGTGAAGGAGTTTTTTTTTTTTTTGTATCGATGAAATTAATGCTAGAGATTTAATGTATAGCCTCACATAATAATTGATAATCGATGTGTTGTGAAAATTGATTTGGAAGACTTGATAATAATATGGAAGAGTGAAGAAATAGTTTGAACCTAAGAATTATGAACACGTGAATGACTTTGTGGGTAATAGAAAAAGGTGGTGGAACATAATGTGTACTTGTTATGTAAATGGAATTTTAACTTATGGTGGATGCGTTTTGAACTAATGTGTTACGGGAATAATGGATGATGTGTTGGCTTTGCCCACTAATCACAATGATAGATGACTTGATAAAATTTATGGAATGTAATGTTGTTTCGGGGTCCGTTTCTCGCCGTATTTCGAGCCGGCAAAGTGTGAGACTAGAAATAGGTGCCACCTTCCTTCCGGAGTAGTGCCCGATAAAGTGTGTGGTATGTTGGGATATGTAGAGGTTCCGCGTTCCTTCCAGCTTGTGACCGGTAAAGCGTGAGCTTCCACCTTCCTTTCGGCTTGTGACTGGTAAAGCGTGTGATTCATGGAGATAACTTGTTAATGGATCCGGTGTTTGATATGACATTGTTTGAAAGAATGGAAAATGAAATGGCAATTGGATTAGAGGTTGGTGATGACGGACTCGCCGGATTGCTTGTGACTATAAGGGAAAATTATGAGTTTTGTTTTGTAAATAATTGGAAAATTGTGTTAAAAAGGGTTCGTCATTCTTGTGTAATGTTTGAACTCTAATTGATAATGCAAATGCAAATGCGGATATTATGTAGTAATGATATGTTGGATTTTAATTGATAATGCAAATGAAGATGTGATGTAATTATTATTGAATATAGAGGAGATTTGGATTTTTACATTGAGGAGTTACAACAAATATGAATAGATTTGTAGGAATAGCATATATGTGGGATGTTTTGGATTATTAAGAGAACTTGAACTTGAGGTTATGGAGTTTTAATAAATGTAACGAGTAGAAAGCGAAAATGGAATTAAAAAGAGGAATATTAAAATGAAAATTAAATGAGGAATATTTTAGAATTGGTTAATAAATTTAAAATGATATTGTTCCTTAAACATATTTGTTTTAAAAAAGGATTTATGGTTCTCTAATGAAAAGGGACAGTTTTTTATGGTCGAAGGTTTTTCCTTAAATGTTCAAATAAATTTTGAGGAAAAAATACGCTACGTATGATATTTTGAAGTTACAAAATGTCACCGTACTATATGGTATCACCTTGAATGCATGATCACTTCTATCTATAGGATGGTTATTGATTTTGAACTATGAGATTCCTACTGGGCAATTGTGCTCACCCCTTGTTGTTTCATTTTTCTTACAAGAAGAGAATTCAAATTGATTGGTTGGAGGATTAAGAAGTTCACGTGTCTGTTATGTGTAATTTCATAGTAGATGTGCAAGAATGAATTTTGTACATTGATGTATGTAATTATTTATTTGTAACTCCGTAATAGGAGCTTGGCATGTATTATTATTATTGTTGTATTCATCATGAGAAAGAACATGTACTATTATGTTTCTATTACTCAAGGGTAATAGATATTTTTAATTAATAAAAAAAATGGACCTAAATTTCAGGCTCTTGGTAATGTTTTCGAGTAATTAAAAACTTGGGACGTGACAACTACTATGTGTGACTCTCTCTATACCTTCTCCACTAGAGGAACAAACTTAGGGTGCAATATCCAAGCATTCAAGAACTTAAAAGGTTTAGGATCCTAATCCCTCACATCGTCCATAAGAACTAGGGGACAATGATTTGAGATAGTTCTTGATAATCCCCATAATTTGAACTTGAACCTTTTAATCCATTCAAGGCTTAGAAGAAACCTATCTATTTTACTCCATTTAATCCCATCATGTACATTGCACTAGGTGTATTTTTTCCCAAGCATCTGAATTTCAGTTACCTCACACCTGTCTATAAACTCATTGAAGTCTTTCATACCTCTATCTCTTCTTAAGTACTCTACTCTTTCAGCTACATTTCTAATTTCATTAAAATCTCCACTCAAACACCATGGCTTTGAAAAATTGCTTTTAAGATTTAATAAGATCTCCCATAAGTTTCCTCTCTTCACCACATCATTTGGAGCATATATATTAAGAATTGCACACTCAAATGATTTATGAAAAGTACCTGATAGCAGTATAAATTTTTTGTTTCTACAGCACTCTGATAGGTAAAAAACTTCAGGATTCCAAATGCATAACAACCCGCCAGCTCTTCCTTCAGCCTCAACAGACATGTACTCAAATCTGTCTCTATGCCATAATCTTCTCACCTCTACCTCTGAGATGCTTGACAACTTGGTCTCTTGAAGTAGGACCATATTAATTTTTCTATCAAATAAAAGTTTCTTGATCTGTCTTTTTTTCTCAGGTTTTTCAACCCCTCTAATATTCCAGCTTAACATCTTCATAACAACATATATTAACCACTGTAGACCACCAACATAGGAGCTGATTACAGACATTTGCCTTTTTTCTCTCCCAATCTCTCCTTATCATCTTCCTCAATAGGAGTAATTTTTGTAGTATTACATCATCTTGGCCATTTGTTGCAATACCTAACCTTTTACCTAGTTGTAGAGTTTCCTATGCCTCCTTCAATCTCCCATCATCACAGATGGATTTTGACTTTTCTGAGAATGACCTTGATAACACTTTTGTCGTAGCTCTAACCACTACAATTTTTGGGGTACCTTTGCTTGGCCCTGTTCCTCTCTGCCCTATCCTTCTAACAAATCCAGAAAAGCCTCTCCTTATTGTCTGGCCATTACTATTCTTCTCTCTCCTTGTCCCTTTCTTCAATTGATTATTAATATATTCACTAGAGAAAGAACTTATAGTATTACTCACATATGACTTAGAGCCCAACATAACAGGCCTATACCTTCTGCTTTCATTAGCCTGGCCTACGCCCTTCAGATCTGACCTACAAAATCCTGGCCCATTGAGTTGTTTATGAAATGATCATGGCCCAAATTGACCTCCAAACAAAATGCCTGGCCTCTTTCGTTGAGTCCCATTGAGACTCGAAATAAAGTCATGTATGACAATCTGTCCATCTACTTTTTGGGCATCATGATTACACCTCTGCAGCTGCCTACTCTCCTCCCTCAACAATGATTCCTCTATACATGTGCCTACCACACTTGATTTCCCCAGGCAATCTTCAGACTCTGCAACTACGGACACTACCTCCCACTTGCCATCAACCTCTATCTCACCTCTACACTGCCTTCAAGCTGTCATATATCTATTTGCCACCTCCTCCTTCTCAATTTCTTCATCGGCCATGATATCATCATTTTCTTCCTTTTTGCCTTCCTTTACTAGCTGTGTTTCACCATGAACATTTGAACTAACATAATCCACAACACCTTCATATGTGTTACATTTGCAGCTGGCCTTTACCTCATTCACTATATGTTCTTTACATATCCTTATTAGGTATATTCTTCCTTTGCATTCCAAATTTGAACTTGAATTAATTGACTCCATAACACTTGTAGCTATTCTAATCCTTCCATATTTGAAAGATGAAGGTTCACAGATATCATCATCAAAATTAACCACCTCACCCCATATTCTTCCAATTTTTCAGAAAGTGTTAGAATTCCAAAGATTCAAGGGAATACCATAACAACTCAACCATACCAATCTTTCTTGATCAAGATAAAGACCTGGTGACCATCTTGTGATATAGTCGCACCACTTGTGGAAACCTGCATAGAGCACACTCTCTTTGCTTCTTAGCTCCTCCATTGATTTGAATGTTATTACCACATCCCTTCCACCTCCCCTTCTTACTAACTCATCACTCTGACCTCTGTTTTTGAGTTCCTCTTTCAACTCCAATGCGGAGTACTGTGGTTTGAGCCTCATGATCTTGCTCTCATATAACCACCCATTTCCAATCTCCTCTACTTCAATGGTAGTCATTGTTGTTCCTCCTTTCTCAACCCTCTTTAAGACCTCAACAAAAGATTTTTTTTATCCATACCAGGAAGCCTTGCATTTTTCTCTACTACCACTGAAACTTTTCGCACCTCAAACTTTCCTCTGTGTGTTGGATGCCACCATTTGATTTCACCTTGTTCTTTTCCATAGTCTGCACTTTTAACAGTCAATGCTTTGTTATCTATCCAAAGTCAATTTGCTTTTTGTTCTGCGATTTGGGCTATTACTGGGCAATCAAATCAAACAAACCCAAACCTTGTTTTTGTTGTTGTCCTCCTCTTGCTTGGGATAAGCACATCCCTGACCACTCCAACCTTTGTAAACAAAGTATACATGCTCTTTGGATTCATTGCTTTAGGTAGATTGTCCACAAATAATGTGAACAAACCTGTTCTTCCCTTCTCATTTCATGCTTCCAGCTTCCCATGCCTTCCCCGTTGCTTTACCACTGATATCTACACTCGTTGCCCTCGTTGCTTCTCCATTGTGTGAGTTTTTGATTGGATTGAAGTTTGACTTGCTTTGGCATGAATTTTATCTCATGTTTGACATCTTGATGTAGGATTATGGGTGATTGACTAATTTGGGTATTTGGTCCAACATTGTAGATTTTGGACAATTTAACACCTATGTCTCATTTGGAAATTGATTATTTTCATTAATTTTTTTATAAAAAAAAATTGTTAAAAAAATATATAAAAAAAAAAAAAATGATATGACAATTTATATTAATTTTTTTACTAAAAACCCAAGTCTCAAATTCAGCTATTTGCTGTTAACATATGAAGCGAAATTGTCTCTTAAAAGATCTCCACAATTTAATTTTTGACAAAGTTAATAATTCCACTGGAGCTTCAAATCTCAAAATTTGCCACTCTTTTCTTCACTTACTCTTCCTCCATGATTCACCAGCCACAATTTTAACACCTGGCGGACTTAATAGTGAAGGAGCTTTCAAATCTCAAATTCAACCATTTACTATTAACGTTTCAAGCGTTTTTTTTTTTTAAAATTTAAAAATATCCATTTGAAGATGCACCTAGTTTTAAATGAGTAAGTCATGGTATTACCGATATGAACTCCTGAATTATTTCCTAAACAATTAGGCTGGTGTTGTTGGACTCCTTAATTTGTTATGCATGTAAACTCATAAATTATTCCCTCATGATCAGGGTTGACACTGTTGGGCTTCTAGTTTCATCAGTAACGTTTCGATTGAATACCATATATCTAATAGAGGTTAAATCTATATTTTCAAGCTTAACGCTATATTTAGATCATGAATTTGGACAAGGATTTAAATAAATAAATAAATTATCTTATATTTTATTCACATTGTCCCTACTTTTTTTTTTCTTTCTCTACCCAAATTCATAATCTAAACACAACTCGATGGAGAATACCAAAATTGGAATAGTGATTCAGTGCAAGTTCTATCTAACTAAAGCCTAAACTGAATCTTTTCAAACAAATAGTAATCCCTTCATGGATATGTATTTTCTAAGACTATTTTTGAATCATGAATTTAGATAGAGATTTGAAAATGAAAACAGAAACGATCCCTATCTAAATTTACGATCCAAACACATACATCATGTGAGAATAGTGTTATTTAAATTTCCCGTATATGTGACCCATGTACATGTGTAATTTGTGCAAATACATATCTAAATGAATTTTGTAACTAGAGCTTGCCTACTTAATCCAAGCATTTAGGGTTGGTTTGGAAATTGGTTTTCTAAGTGATTTTTTGAAATTTTTTGTTTTTGTTTTTGTTTTTGTTTTTGACTAAAATATGAGGTGAAAAAAAATAATGGGTTTGGGAATGACTTTTTTACTTTTTATGAATAAACGTGGAAAAAGTTAAGAGAATGATAATGAATCTTCGAATTTTTTAAACTATTGTAGCCATTTCCCAAACACTCCTTAGCTGCATCATGTGCATCATTCAGGAGAACTTTAGACTCCAAAGAAAGGGTAATTATTGGTAAAATATATTATGCCCTGTTATTTAATTGGGCAAACTTCATTTACCCCACTGTAGTTTGAGTCTGGTGCGGATTACCTCTCTAACATTTGTATATGACCACATATTCCTCATATGATTAATGGATTGAAGTGTACAGTTAGCATTTCCATCTAATCTAAATGCCTGTGTGTAGACACCCTATTTTTGACCGTCCTCAAGACTTGGACGTCACCGTTTGAACGCTCGGTGATCATCCATGTTCGTGTTCGTTTTGAGTTCCCAGAGGCCTCGGCCGCACGCCTTGTCTCAGGATCTCTTAACTTGCCTGTTCTGTGCTTGGTTTTGCACCAGGGACTTGTGTTTTGTGCTTCTGAGGGTGGGAAGAGGCTTCTTAGCCATCCCTGAAACCCACCGGCCGTGGCATGATGCCACCGGCCTTGTTGTTTTTCCTATAGACCAAATATTTGGTCGGTCGGCACTATGCTAGGTGTATCGACCTTTTTGTGTGGTCGGCCGACCATTAATTTGGCCAATTGACTCCTTTTCTGGTCGATATCTCCTTTTTTTCTTTTTCAGGCACTGCGCATGCCAACTGTGCCAGCTGGAGTGCACGGACCTGTCTTCCATACACGTGTATGGAGGAATTTGCACCATTTTGGTCTAGCTTCTTGGGGAAGCTTGGACCTTTGTCTTAGCTTCCTCAAGAAGTTTGGACACCTGTCTCAGCTTACTAAGGAAGCCTTGGCCCATTTGCCTTAGTTTCTTTAAGAAGCCTTGACCCATTTGGTTAGCTTCTCTTGGAAGCTTAGGCCTTTTGCTTTGTCTATATAAGAGAGCCTTCCTTCTCCTGTGAAGAGGTTGAACAAATCAAACATATACATCTAATATATCTCATATATCACTCTCTCTCTCTCTCTAGATCTCCCTTTCTCTCTTTATTTGTGTGTGTTTGAGGGTTCAAAAGGGTGTTTTGTTCTTAGTTTTGCACTAAGGCACCTAGTATTACACCATACTTGGGTTATTGAGGTGTTGGGAGGTTGTTCTTAAAGCTTTGAGTTGGTTTTGATCAGAAGAAAGGGGCTAGACTTGCTGTTCTTCAAGTGTTCTTCAAGGGTGAGCTAGTTACTTTATATTCCCCATTCTTGTACTAGCTTTTAACCCACTTTGCATGCTGTTTTGAGCTTTGTGTATAACTGATAAAAACTCTATTTTTTTCATGCTTAAGATGTTTTATTAAGGTCACTTTGGTGTTGGGAGTCGACCTCCCCCTCTTTGGCCTTGTTTGGCCCCTTTTTGTGCCTTCTTTGTTGAGCCTTTGTAACTTTCGTGTATTGGCCTTCTCACCACTGAAATCCAGAGGATTTTCAGTGGTGAAGAAGAGGTTTTGAGATCTTGCATAGGGGAGGGACACCCCTCTCCCTTTGTGTCTCATTTGTTCATGTTTTTGGCTCATAAGGGTAGCATGCGTGCCTAGTTGTTCTTAGCTTCATTTCAGAGGTTTTTGGGTGTTATTTGGTCATATTATACCTCTATTTTTGCTCA